GCCCTTCAAAGCAGCACTTGCCACGCTTCTGAGCAGCATAAGGAAGGAGCGGCAGCACGGCCGGCTGGCGTACACAGCAGGGCGGGGTGGGGGGCATGCACCACATCCCTACCCCCACCCCATCCAGCTGAACATCAACCTACAGCTCGTTTGTGGATTATGCTTAGAGGGCCAAGAAGCTGATGTGTAAATACCAGCCTACGAATCGCCAGACTGCCCATACTCTGCTTAACATCCACTAACCAGAACAGACTGAGGAAGAAGCTTGTCCCAACAGAACCGGTACTGATGACAGATTAAACTGGAGCTACTCTGTCTTCAGAGCAGAGTCTGGCCTCCTCATCGGGGTTCAGGGAGTACTCCCTCCCCTATGGGTCTTACTAGGTACACCCCAAACTCAAAGTTCCAAAGGGTTTAGAAGGGAGAACAGCAGACAAGCGATGAACTGTGTGACTTGTTCTCTAGGAGTGGTGACAAGAAGTGACAATGTTCCCAAACCTGCCATTACCTACAGACCACAACTTCAAGATGAAAAAACACAAGAGCCAAGTGTGGGGCCGGTGCTGTGGCACAGCAGGTAAAGTCACCACCTGCTGACACCAGCATCCAACATGGGTGTTGGTTCATGTTCCAGCTGCTCCACTTCCCATCCAGCTCCCTGCTGATGGCCTAGGAAAGGCAGTGGAGGATGGCCCATGTCCTTGGGTCCCTGCACACAGGTAGAAAACCAGGATAAAGCTCTTGGCTTCAACCCGGCCCAGCCCTGGCCCAGCCCTGCAGGCCTTGGTGGGAGTGAATCAGTAGATGGAAGATACCAGTTTTGCCTCCCTTCCTTCCTCTCCAACTTTGTTCTTTTAAATAACATTTAAAAAGAGAGAGGTCAATTTTGTTGTTAAAAAAAAAGAGAGAATACCTAGAACTAGAAAAAAAAAAAATTTAACCAGTATTTCAGTATAGGAAGTTGTTGTGGGGGACTGCATTGTGGTACAGGGTTGAAGCCACTGCCTGTGACACCAGCATCCCACGTGAGCATCCGTTCTAACTCAGCTACGTGCTTCTGATCCAGCTCCATGCTGATGCTCCTGAAAAGCAGTGGAGTGTGGCCCCAGGGCCTTAGTATGACCCACGTGGGAGAGCCACACAGAGGTCAAGGCTCCTAGCTCCAGCATGACCCAACCCTGGCCACCACAGCCAACTGGAGGGAACCCATGGAGGAAGCATTTTAGCTTTCTTCTCCCTCTGTAACCCTGCCTTTCAAATAAAAAAGTTAGAGGAAATAATTGCTTACTATTTAAAAAGTACACGTTCAAAGAAGAAAAGGATTCATTCATTCAATAAATATTTATTGAACTGCTACACTGAATCAGGCATTGCTCCCAGCCTGTTGGGGGATAATGCTTACACCGCTGCTTCTCTCAAGTATACAGTACCAGCAATGGCCACGGATCATCCCACAGCCGAATGTACTGGCCCAGACAGCACAGGTGCCAGAAAGATGTGCAATGCACACGCAGGATGGGGGCGGCTCCCTCGTGAATGAGCCACCTGCCCTCCAGCTCTCCGCTCCTTCCCTGCATGGTGGTGGGCTACTTTCGCTTTCATCAGTCCCAGAACCGAGACAGAGAACACGGCAGAAAGGGCAGTGGCCGACAGTGACACGGGCTCCTGTCCCTGAATCATCTGTGAGCTGCCAAGACAGGGAGAGGAAAGGAAGGCTAACTGTCCAGGGGATTTACGCCTCCTTCATGCAGCTGAGCCAGCTCATAGAAAACCCGACTGACACCTCCCTCCAGCAGGTAGGTAAGAAAACCTGTTGGCAACAAACCTGTTGGCTGGCAGTTTCTCCAGGGACCGGTGACAACTTCCACAAGTTGTAGAGCTAAGCCCCGGATGACCCTGGTTCTTCTTGTTGGCCCCAGATGTCACAGGCCAGAAGCAAAGTTTTTTGCGTTTTTTTTTTTTTTTGGCCCGGAAAAAGCAGATCTTCATCAGTGTAGGAAACCGGCTCCACGCGACCCAGGTGGGCGGCTCCCACACGCAGTGGTTCAGTAAAGATTTCAAAAACAGATTGACTTGGAGGTGCCAGCACTGTGCAGTGTGGCAGCCAAGTTAACCTGCTGCCGCCTGCAGTGCCAGCATCCCAGGACGGCACTGGCTGGAGTTCCAGCTGCTCTACTTCCCATGCAGCTCCCTCCAGATGTGCCTGAGAAAAGCAGCACAAGATGGCCCAAGTGCTTGGGAGCCAGTCAGCACGAGGGATACCCAGGTGGAGTCAGGTTCCTGGTTTCAGCCCGGTCCAATCCTGCCCAGCCACTGCAGCCATTAGAAGAGCGAACCAGCTCGCGCTCTCCCTCGTACTCCGCCTTCTCAAGTAAATAAATTAATCTTTAAAAAAAATGGAAAATAATGTGAAGGAAGAGCCACACAGAAATGATTTTAGGGCAGCCACTAGACTTTGTCACAAACTTCTGTTAAAAAGAAAGCCCAAATTAAACTCAACTTACCCAGTAAGGCTAGCACACATTTCTGAGTTTACGACTCATTTTATTATGGTTGTGTGGCAACTCCTTGACATCTCACCATTTCTTAAAAACGTCCTAGAACATGAACTGATACAACCAAAGAGGAGTTAAACCAGAGGGAGGGCTGCAGGGAACGGTTTTAGTCCCTCTGCAAAGCAGGATGTGGCCACGGAGGCACGTCAGAAACCTGTTGCATCTCCAAGGTCCCGCAGGGACTGCAGCAAAAGCCCCAAAACGTGTGTCAGCCCCAGCATGTGCCCGTGCAGGTCTGCTGGGGCTGCAGCCACCTGCTACAGCGATCTCCCAGCCACCATACCACAGCTCCGCTTGCTCTGTCGATGGCAGGACTCTGCCAAGCCAGCCTCCCTGAGTGCCCCATCATTATCTCATTACCCAAGCCACCATTCAAGGAAACCTCCTTCCCTGACGGCCCAACGGGCAGCTCAGCCCCTGGCCTCAGGCCACCAGAGCAGCCAATCTCATTCCTCGGCCTCTGTCAGAGCTCTAGGCTTTCTGTACTGTTCTCCTTATCTCAAAAACAAGGAACAGGGCGGATGAGTGGTGTTAACTATGGGAACTGGCCTCCCATGAGGGGTACCTGGCTTCAGGACCTGGCTCCGATTCACGCCCTGAGACGCAGCAGCAGAAGACGGCTCAAGTACTTGGGTCCCTGCCACCCACGTGGGAGAGCCACACACAGCTCCCAGCAGCCCCTGCTCTGGGTGGGTATTTCAGGAGTGAACCAGCAAAAATGGCAGGTCCGTCTCTCTTTTCTGTCAAAGCAAGCTACCCCGAGGCGGAGGCCGGGACTCCTCACTGCCCTGCACTCGCCTGTATGGAACCAATGACTGATTCACATTCTTTCTCGTCAAGTGATCCACCAGGGGAAAAAGACAAAAACACAAAATAAAACTCAACTATATCACTCTCTTCCTTTAAAGGTATGTTCCAACTATATCCTTTCTTCTTCTAATGTAGAGGATTTGAAGCATTCACCAAAGACAAGGATGGGTGCAGACACCGTCCAATACTAACTTCCTCCAAGCCCTCAGCCCACAGGGATGTCCCCGCTCTTCCGGAGCCCTGCCCCTCGGCTTCCCAAGTCACAGTGGTTCAGTCCTTTCTGGTGCTCACAGCCACCGCCTCTCCGCCTGGCGCCGCTCTCTCCATGTCACCGGGCAATGCCCAGCCCACCGCATCAGCCCCTCGGGAATCCCATTCTCAAGCCGCAAGCTCCCCACCCTGAGGACTTCTGATTTATTCCCACCCTAGATAAGGGGTGGAGGGAACACATCGCAGCTAAAGCCAGTGAAAGGATAGAAGCCTCCAAGGAAGTACCTGCCTAATCAGGTGACAGGATAACAGTTAAGGGAAAAAACCTGCTGTTTGCCATCCAGGCAAAACATTCCTCACAGTGGCCTGCAGTGTTGTGTGTCCCCTTGGGACTGGAGGATGGCTGGAGGACTTAGCTATCTTAAGGGAGGTATCACTCTAGGTATTTTGGTTGCTGCTGGCTCACAGAAATGGTTATGTAAAAACAATAAATGCCCAGGAAGAAAAAAAAAAAAAAAAAGAGGAGGCTGCGCCATCTCGGTAGCTAACGTCTTACTCCCGTGTGAGCAGGCTTGGCTGCAGCCACCACCCCAACACCCTTAACGGGGGAGAAACGGGGGCCACCCCCCAACACAAGACGGCGCGGAGCAGCCAGCCACCGAGGCTAGTTGTCCACGCTTCCTGGGGTCACCGCACCCACCATCCCGGCCCGGCCCTGTCCCCCAGGAAGCCCACGGGGGCCATACCGGGCCAAGGCAGAGCGTCCCCTCCACGACCCGCGCGCGCACCCAGGCCCAGGGTGCCGGCCCGCGGCGCACCACTGGCACAGCACCTCGCCCGCCGACGTCTGTCCCCCACGGGGGACCAGGGGGTGCCGGCCCGAGACACTCCCCCTCCTGCTGCCGTCCACTCTCCCACCCCTTCTTTCCTCGAGGTCACAGACGCCGCAGTGCCCGCCCTGCCCCCTCCTCAAATTCAGGACCTGAGCAGCGCCCCTCCCACCCCGTCCCTCCCAAGAGCCACCGTGCGCCCCGTGCGCCCCACGCCGCCTGGCTCGGGGGTCCCGCCTCCCGGGGGAAAACCTCGCCGCTCTCTGCGTCCCACCCGAGCCCCCGACCGGTCACCGGAGGAGCGCGCACCGGAGGAGGGCACCGGGGCTGGGGCGCCCGAGGACACGACGCCGCGGCGGCGCCCAGGGCCTCCACGCCCCCTCCGGCCCCTCCCGGGCTCGGCCACTCGCCCCGGGGATTAGCGCTTCCCCCCCGCCCCAGCCGGTCCGCAGCCCCCTTGGCGACGGCCGGGAGACCCACAGTAACTCTCTCCGGCTCGTCACCTCCCGCCCGCCGCCCAGGCCCGCCGAGCGGCTCGGGGACGCGCGGGGACCCCAGGCCGCGGCTGCAGGGAGCGGCCGGGCCCCTCACTCACCCACAGCTCGGTGCCCCAGCTCATGGTGCAGGGGGCGGGAAGGGGCGCTCCGCGCGCGGCGGGCGCGGCTCTCCAGTCCTCCTCCCCGGCGGCTCCCCTCGTCCTCCAGATCCCCGCGACCGCCGAGAGTCCGCTGCCCTCAACGGCCGCCGGCTGCCCCGACTCCCCGCTGCTCGCCCCGGCTCTGCGGCGCGCTCCTCCTCTCCGTCGCTCCACAGCAAAATGGCCCGAGGAAGCCGCTGCCGCCGCAGCGCCCGCCCGCCCCACGCCGGGCGCGCCAGGGGCGTGGCACGGGGCGTGGAGGGGCGTGGCGATGCCGGGGGAGTGGCGGCGCTGGGGGGCGTGGCTGTGTCCCGGAGGGGCGGGGCCGGCTTGACAGCTGGCGCACGCGCGCCGCGTCCCGCTGCCCCCGGTCGCCTCGGGGTCCAAAAGGAAGCGGGAAGACCCTGGGGACCCTGGAGGGCTCCCCGGACGTGGTCACTCCGCTCGACTTGCGGCGTGTTTTCCCGGACAGAGATCTCTGGGCAGCGGCTCCGGGAGCTTACCCAGGCAGCCAGCCAGCCAGCCAGGGGCGAGGCCCGAGGGGGGCGCGGTGGGAATTTTGGGGGTACCTCGGCGTGGCACCCGACTGCCATCACCCCACGTGGGTCGGGGTGTATAGAGGCCGAGGGCGTGCGCCCCAAAGGCTTGGATAGGTTCGGGGAAGGAGCTGCGGGGCTGCAGCCCCCAATGCTTCCTCGGTCTCTGAGGCCAGCCATGGCCACCTTGGTGGCCGAGAAGCTCGGACATGAACTCACGTGACCACGGGGCAGGAAAGGGGGAGGCCCTGGAGTTCTCGCCCCCCTAAACACACACACACACACACACACACAGCATGTCCACCCGGGAGCGGCCAGCCTGGCTCTCGGCCCTGCGTCCACCTGCCGGGGCTCTCAGCCTCTCGGCCCTGCGTCCACCTTCCGGACGCGAGCCCGGATCACCTGCGCTTCCACCGTGGCTGCCTGCACCAGGCCTTGCCCCTCGCTCCCTCCCCCGCCGAGGGTGCCCCTCCACCCAGGAGCCTGGTCTGGGACGAGGCAGCCAAGGAAGGCTCCCTCCCTCACGCTGTCCCTTACAGGCCACAGTCCTGCTCTCTAGGCCCGCAGGCCGCAGCCCCTATTCCGGGTGTCTGAACATTGGGCCCTCACGGTGCCCAAGCCTGGGCCAGAAAAGACCTGCAGAAACCGGCCAGGCCACTTCCAGGCTGGAAGGGGAGCAGCTTCTGGGGTGAGGCACGCAGCCTCGGTAATTCCCTCAGTTTCCCTCCCTGGCGAGCTGTGAACAGCAACTGAAAAGAGCCAGAGACCACATAAAGAACAAACTTGAAGATGAGTAAGCTGAAGAGTTAGCTGTGGGAGCCCATTCAAAAGGCGCCGCACAGCTCACCGCACCACACCACACATTCAGCCCTAGTGGCATAACTGCGAGATGTTTGGAAATAGCAGAATCTGAAAATTAAAAAAAAAAATCGAAGAGAAACACCCCCCACTGATGTTGTAATGAAAACATCTGGGTTTGGGAAACAGTGAAATAACCCAGCCTGGGGGGTGGGGAGAATCTAAAATCTAGTGTATGTTGTTTATTTTGTTTGGTTGTTTTCACTCCCCTCCATTCTGTACCCCCTAAAATAAATTCATTTCTACTTGGGCCCAGTGTGGGATGACTGAATTAGCTAATCTTCCACCTCTGAACCACCAGGATCCCAACTGAGAGGCAGTTTATATCCTAGCAGCCCCACTTCCCATCCAGCTCCCTGCTTGTGGCCTGGGAAAGCAGTCAAGGACGGCCCAAGGCGTTGGGACCCTGCACCTGCGTGGGAGACCCACAAGCAGCTCCTGGCTTCAGATTAGCTCAGCTCTGGCTGCTGTGGCCATTTGGGGAGTGAGCCAACAGATGGAAGATCTTTCTGTCTCTCTTTCCTCTCTGTAAATCTGCCTTTCCAATAAAAATAAATCTAAATTTTTTTTCTTTTTTTTTTAAAGATTTTATTTATTTTTATTACAAAGTCAGATATACAGAGAGCAGGGGAGACAGAGAGGAAGATCTTCCAACCAATGATTCACCCCCCAAGTGAGTGCAACGGCTGGTGCTGAGCTGATCCAAAGCCAGTAGCTGGGAACCTCCTCCAAGTCTCCCATGTGGGTGCAGGGTCCCAAAGCCTTGGGCTGTCCCTGACTGCTTTCCCAGGCCACAAGCAGGGAGCTGGATGAGAAGTGGAGCTGCTGGGATTAGAACCGGTGCCCATATGGGATCCCGGTGTGTTCAAGGTGAGGACTTTAATTGCTAGGCCATGGTGCTGAGCCCCAAAATTTTCTATTTAAGAAAAAAAAAATGACAAACACCCTATAGAGGCCACAGTGTGATCAGAGGAAAGCAAGTCAGTCAGGGCTTTTGGCAATTTAGTGCTGCTTGCAGGTGAGTAAGTGCCAGGCCAGGGCTTGCAGGCATGCATAGGGCAACGGACTGCTGTGTGCACTGAAAGTAGACAGGGTTCAGGGCCTGCTGAGCTAGTCCAAGCAGTCCTCTGCTTAGGTGTGTGGCTTCTGGCAAGTCACTTCCATTCTCTGAGCAGCAGTTCTCTCGCTGGTAGTCAGGAGGCTAGGATGCCACTGGGGTGAGCCCAGCCAATTGGTGCCACCTAGATTTACATAGTTCTGCACAGGTAGCTTTTGGTTGTTGACTGAACTACTTTTCTAAGCAGTTTGCTCCTCTTGAAACAAGAAACAATGTGATTTATTTCAGAATTTACTGTGCAGGTGAAAAGCAAAACAGGTAGGATAGTTTGTACAGGGGTAAGGCCTCAAGCGCTGGCTGGCTTTCTCCTCCTCCGAGGTTCCGGGGAACCGCCCGCTCAAGGAAAGCAGTCCTGTCGGCATTTGATGCAAGAAGAAGGGCTCATCTGAACTGCCAGGAACAGGTTGTCTGTTGGTGAAGTTTTATTCTTCATGAAAATCGCAGGAATTTTTGTCTGATATGAGTATAACGAAGCTTCAAACACTGTAGAAACTGTGCAAGACGTCTCCAAAATTCACAAATAAAGGTGTGGCATGGGGACAGATGTTGTGATGTAGCAGGTAAAGCTGCCGCCTTGGTGCCAGCATCCCACATGGGCATGGCACCCCACTCCTGGCTCTTGGCTTCAGCCTGGTCTACCCCTAAGCTGTTGCAGCCATTCGAGGGGTGAATCAATGGACAAAAGATACTCTTCCTATTTCTAAAAAGGCACATCTTTTTAAGTGTATCATGAAAAAAACTATGCACGAACTTCAAACATTTTTGTGCCAAAATATCTTGTAATTTTATTTTATGTAAACTTTTTAAAAATATTTGTTTATTTTTATTGGAAAGGCATATTTATAGCGAGAACAAGAAACAAAGATTTTTGGTCTTGTGGTTCACTCTCTAAGTGGCCACAACAGCCTGAGCTGAGCTGACCCAAAGCCAGGAGCTTCTTCCAGGTTGCCCATGCATTGGGCCATCCTCTCTTACTTTCCCAAGCCACAAACAGGGAGTTGGATGGGAAGTGCAGCAGCTGGGACTTGAACCAGTGCCCTTATGGGATCCTGGTGTGTGCAAGGTGAGGATTTAGCCACTGAGCCATTGAACTGGGCCCACCATCATCCATTGTTTTGTTTTGTTTTTGGTTTTTGGCCCCCCATTCCCCTCTTTTTACACCTGATGATTTACCACCCACCCCTCGAAGAAGTGAGAAAAGAGAAACTGGCTGTGCTGTGACCAGGCAGTAGGTAGAAGAGAAACTTCCGGAGTTCATATCCACCCACAGGACTCCAGCTGTCTCAGGGCTTGGTTTTCCCATGGAGGTAATTTGTTGCACAAAGATGTCCTCAAGGGTTTTGCTAAGCACCAAGAAATACTTAAAAATCTTTGGCTACTACCCTGAGGAAATGATGAATGGTACCTGCACGAAAGCCTGGCTCTGAAGTGACCTCTAGTTGCTCATATTTTATTGAGCAAGGTTTGGGGTCCACATGCCAACTCTTTCAGTGGAAAAATCAACGGCAATTATGCCTTATTAAAATCGGGCACTACTAAGCCATGAGTTACTTCTGAAGATTTCTGAAGGTTGTCTAAACGGGGTGTGGGATTATGTGACAAGCAGAACGCCCAACATCAGCGGCAACCCTCAGCTGACCTTGCACAGTGAGAAAGACAGCCAACTAGAGTGCTCTCAATCTATGGCTTCTCAGCCTTTTGGCTAAGATCAAGTATAGAATGCACTTGACCAAGACAGGATGGTCTTTCCTGCCCCTCCAGCGTTCACCTTGAAGTTCAATGCCCTTTTGAAAAGCTTGCCAGCCAGAGCAGGCATAACTTGTTCTATTACTCATCCTGTCTCCAGCTGCTGCATGGTATCATGGGTATGCAAATTATCTTTTCTTGAAACTGTGAAATCCCAGTCTCTCATTCTGAGAGTGGCAGTTTCCTCTTAACAAGTAGCTGTCTGTAAGGCTCCACCTTAAGTCTTAAAAACTTTGTAACCAGTTGTTCGCTTCTTCCTCTCTAAGGGAGATCTTCAGAAACCTGTGTTCTCAAACATACAGGCACCTGCTACAAGTAAGCCTGGCTCTCTGGCCTTGGGGGTCACATCTAGGAATCACAAGAACCCAGCTGAAGCCCTTGTAAAAAATACTGTAATAGAAAAGATTAAAGCCTTCCATTTGAAACTACTTAAATGTTTGATCACTGGTATATTACTAAGTGGAATGAAGGCTCTACCTGGGAGGTGTTTGGTACAGTGGGTGGGACACTCACATTCATATGGGAGTCCCAAATCTTCCACTTCTGATCCAGCTCTCTCCTAGCGTGCATTCTCCGAGGTTGTACACACCGGCTCAAGGAGCTTGGGTCTTGCCACCCATGTGGCATCTCGAAAAGGAGTTCCAGTTCCAGCCCAAGGCAATGGCTCAATTGGTTAATCCTTTTGCCTGGCAAGCACTAGGATCCCAGAGGGTGCTAGTTTGCATCTCGGCTCCAACTCCCATCAGCTCCTGCCTGTGGCCTGAGAAAGTCCACAAACGCCCAAAGCCTGAGGACCCTGCACCTGCATGGAAGACCCAGAGGGTATCTCCTGGCTCCTGGCTTCGGATCAGCTCAGCTCTGGCTGTTATGGTCATTTGGGTAGTGAACAAGTTGATGGCAGATTGTTTTTTTTGTTTCTCCATCACTCTGTAAATCTACCTTTCCAATAAAAATAGATGAATCTTATAAAAAGTTTCAGGCACTTTACTTTGGCCTGCCCCAGGCTCTGCTGTTATGGGTATTGGGAGAGTGAAACAGCCAACAGAGGATGTATCTGTGTCTTTGCCTTTTATATAAAATGTAAATAAGTTAAAAAAAATTTAAGACTAAATTTTTTACTCATTCCATCTTTAACATTATATTCAAACTTTTTTTTTGATTTATTTTTTTATTATTTTCTTATTGGAAAGGCGGATATACAGAGAGGAGAGACAGAGAGGAAGATCTTCCGTCCGATGATTCACTCCCCAAGTGAGCGCAACGGCCGATACTATGCCGATCCAAAGCCAGGAGCCTCTTCTGGGTCTCCCACGCGGGTGCAGGTTCCCAAGGCTTTGGGCCGTCCTCGACTGCTTTCCCAGGCCACAGGCAGGGAGCTGGAAGGGAAGCGGGGCTGCCGGGATTAGAACCGGCGCCCATATGGGATCCCGGGCGTGCAAGGCGAGGACCTTTAACCACTTGCGCCACCGTGCCGGGCCCTCAAACTTTTTTTTTAAGATTTATTTATTTATTGGAAAGTCAGATATACAGAGAGGAGGAGAGAGAGAGGAAGATATTCCATCTGTTAATTCAATCCCCAAGTGAGTGCAACGGCTGATGCTCTGCCGATCAGAAGCCAGGAACCAGGAACTTCTTCTGGGTCTCCCACACGGGTACAGGGTCCCGAGGCTTTGGGCTGTCCTCAACTGCTTTCCCAGGCCACAAGCAGGGAGCTGGATGGGAAGTGAGGCTGCTGGGATTAGAACCGGCACCCACATGGGATCCCGGGGCACGTTCAAGGCAAGGACTTTAGCTGCTAGGCCATGCCGCCGAGCCCTATATTCAAACTTTTAAAACCACAGATTCTAAAAATGGTATCAAACTTAAAAAAAAAAAAGCCCAAAACTCAGAGTTGCAAACTGCCTTAAAAATGAAATTACTTAAAAATAACTTTCCCCTTAACATTGAATTTCATGATGAAACAATCGTCTATTTTTACTCTGAGGAGTAAAAACTTCAGATTTTACATTCCTACTGTTTTTTCCTATTTAAAATGAAATATACTGGGCCTGGCGCTGTGGACTAGCTGCTAAAAAGTCCTTATCTTCAATGCGCCAGCATCCCATATGGGCACCGGTTCCAATCCCGGCAGCTCCACTTCCCATCCAGCTCCCTGCTTGTGGCCTGGGAAAGCAGTCAGGGACAGCCCAAGGCTTTGGGACCCTGCACCCACATGGGAGACTTGGAGGAGGTTCCCAGCTACTGGCTTTGGATCAGCTCAGCACCAGCCATTGCACTCACTTGGGGGGTGAATCATTGGTTGGAAGATCTTCCTCTCTGTCTCCCCTGCTCTCTGTATATCTGACTTTGTAATAAAAATAAATAAAATCTTTAAAAAAAATGAAATATACTTTCTGAAAACCCCTCTAGCATACATTTGATAACACTGGTTCCTCGGACCTTGGGTGGACTTTACCTTGCTAAAAATTAAAAAAAATCTGGCCTAGCGCAAGAGTGTAGCAGCTAAAGTCCTTGCCTTGAATGCGCTAGGATCCCATATCAGCGCCGATTCTAATCCCAGCAGCTCAGCTTCCCATCCAGCTCCCTATTTTGTGACCTGGGAAAGCAGTCGAGGACGGCCTAAAGCCTTGGCAACCCTTCACCTGCGTGAAGGACACCCAGAAGTTCCTGGATCCTTGCTTTGGATTGGTTCAGCTCCAGCCATTGCGGCCACTTGGGGAGTGACCCACTTGGCAGATCTTCCTTTCTGACTTTCCAATAAAAATAAATAAATCTTAAAAAAATTAAAATCATCGGGTGGGCATGGTGGCACAGCAAGGGAAACCACCTCTTGGGACACCACATCTCATATTGGAATGTGGGATCAGAACTGAGCCCAGCTTCCAGGCTGCGTGCCTGGCTGCTGGCTCTGGGCTGGACCAGCCACGGCTGTCGCTGCCTGTTGGGGAGTGAATCCACTGATGGATGCTCTCTCACTTTTTCCAAGGAGACGAATACAAAGAGACTTAAATTTTTTTTTTCCTTAAGCTGCCTCAAAGTTAAAAACCTTAGAAGACTCTAGTTTCATGCAAGAGGCACAGATCCAAATCAGAAGTAGCTGAAAATTACTCAACTTACTGTGTGACTCCAAGCAAGTGATTTAAACCCTGTCGCTCCTCCCACCCCACCTTGGTTCTCAATGTAACTGTAAGAGGGCAGATCCAGCAGCTGGACCTTCTGTGTGTCACGCCCCATGTTCAGACCGATGACCAGAGACCAGACATGGGGGCGGAGAGCGGTTCTGCCACCTGGAGATGATGGTACCAGCCATCTCCTCTGGGGTGTTCACCAGTCACTTCCAGGTGGACTATGGTCCCCCCAGCTCCACGTCAGGACCCACGGAGGTGCCCCACCCACCTTGCCCTGTGTGTGTGTGTGTTTTCTCCTCTTAATCACAGCCGGAATTCAGGTTCATGACTAAGAGGGAACATGACAACCTAGCTCCCGTCCTGGCTCTCATCACCCTCCTCCCCCTCTGTACTTTCCCGATGGATTTTTTTTTTCCTACCTACATGGGACACCTGATTCTGTTAAAACCAACCGCCTACTTTCATTTCCTGGTTCCACTTACGAACTTTTCAGTCTCAACTGCGTCATCACACACAGTGGCACAGCTGACTTTCACTCGGGACTGGGACTCCCAGTGGGTTTTCTTTAGGATGATTTTCTGTTTTGTTTATGCGGTTATATCAAAACAGCAAGCATTACTTGAGCGGCAAGATTTTTTTTTTAATACAACAAAACCTTGTGTGTGTTCTTCTAAAATTCTTGGATAAGGAATGGTCAATTCCACGCAGAATTAAGAACCCGGCTGGTCATGGGTGGGGGGAGCTCGGAGGGCCACGGTCCCTCGTTGTCATGGCAACCGCCGGCAGGTGTCCACGGCGGGGGGGGGGGATCCGTCATCACGTCCTCGGGGTAACCCCTAGAGTCCACCCGGCAGGAGCGGCCAGCCGAGGGGGCCCTGGGTGACGTCCCCGGGCCGAGCGCTCTGGAAAACCTTGCGAAGATGTCCACCGCGTCCCCGCGGCTGCTCAGGCCCTTCCGGCGGCCGCCGACCTTCGACCCCGGAAGTGGGCGGGAGAGGAAACAGCTGGTGATGCTGGAGCAAACATGGCTGCCCCGGCGCCCGTCGGCCCTTCGGGCTCCCGCCGCGCTCCAGTGCCTGGCTGCCTCCGCCTGCTCCCGCTCCTGGCACTCGTGCAGCTGCTGGCCGTGCCCAGCTTGGGCCGCGTCCACCACCTGGCGCTCAAGGTAACACCAGGCTGGGCCGAGCCGGGCCTGGCCGGGGGGCACCGTGGCCGGCCTCGGGCTGTCTGGTAGCAGCTGGGAAATCGGGCGAGGGGGTGTAGGGGAAGGAGGCAGCTGGGCTGCGGCGTGACCCCGAGTCCTCCCCGCCCTTGGTCGCTTGTGCTTGCTTTTTTCGTGTCCCCTCCAACTTCTTACCTCGGACTTCCCGTTCTGGGCGGTCTCGGTTTTTCCATGCCCTTGCAGCACCTGGCGCCCTCAAAGCGCAGCACGAGGATCTCCAGGAGGAATTTTCTCCTCTTGCTTGCAATCCGTGGCTGAGAATGTCGAGCCAGCCTTGGAAACGGGGCTTTTAACGAGGGGATCTGGCTTTTCCTCCTGGGCTTCTGACATCACCTGTTGGCACAATAGATGTTTCTGGTGGGTCTGGAGCCATCTCCCACATCTTGGCTTTGTAACTCACTTGTTAAAAGTCCTGCAAGCGGTATCTGTGTATTTTCTGAGATTTGGGCTGGTTTGGATATCCGGGTCCTGTCCTAGTACCTCGTGATGACCCTCACGCCCCTCCTGTGCCATTTTCATGGTCCACAGCTTTCTCAGAAAAGTTGTGGGATAGTAAAAAGTTGGTCTGGAGAGGCTCCGTGAAGCTGCTTGGGATGCTGAATTAGAGAGAATACAGAGTCTGGATTTAGAAGCTCGGTCCTGGGCCAGTATCAGCGTGCTGTTTGTAATTAAAAATCCGCCTGGTTGAAATTCCTTAACTACCACAGCAGGACCAGCGACAGAAGCTGCCAAACTTCCCCCACCCATGGACTGATGTGTTCAGGCAAGCGCTAGAGAAGGAGGGAGACAACTTCCATTCCCTGATTCACTCCCCCCAAAGACCCACAGCAGCAGGCTGGAGCCAGGCCCAAGCCAGGGTGCAGGAGCTCCTGCTATCCCAGCCTTTGTAGGCACATGAGCAGGGAGCTACCTTGGAATCGTGGGCTGGTGGCATGGCAAGCAGCACCTACAGCCCCTCAGAAAACCAGGAAGCTACTGGATGACCTTGCAGTGTGTGCCTCGCTCAGCAGGTGTGTTATGTGCTGGGCTGACACTGGCCCAGACACAGGCTGTGGCCGTGAGCAGGATGAAAGCCTGGCCCCCTGGCAAGCCGTCTCTGTAACAGGCAGTAAGCATGGCAGGTGCACGAGTCATTTGAGACTGGGATGGATGGGTTTCGTCTCGTGGCAGAGTGGTGGAATTGGGGTTCACGTGGGATGGTTCGTCTGGGGAGAGGCACTTCTCAAGTGGACACGTGCAGGATGAGGTGAGCCCGTGTGGACCTAGTGGGCATCTTCCAAGCAGAGGGTGGCGGCACCGGTCACTTCTCTGTGGAACTTGAAGGGCACCTGCGGGCTGGAGCACATGGCCTGGGTGAGAGAGCAGGTGGAAGGGCCTCTGCCTGGGTCTCCTGTGTGGGTAAGAGCCCCCACATAGTTAGGCCAGCTTCTGCTGCTTTCCCAAACATGGTAGTGGGAAGCTGGGTTGGAAGCAGAGAAGACGGGATGTAAGCCAGGGCTCTAGTGATGGGGTGATGGTTTTGCAGGTACTGGCTTAACCCACTGTGCTGCAATATTAGCCCCAGAATCTACATTTTAAGTGCTAGGAATAGCTCCTTGTGATTGAGGCACCTGTTGAAAGCCAGAGATTGTGCTAACTGTAGCCGTTAACTCCTCATAGCAGCCTTTGCAAAGAATGTTCATTTTTTTGTTTTGTTTTTAAGATTTATCTACCCTTTACTGGAAAGGCAGATTTACAGAGAGCAGGAGATATAAAGATCTTCCATCTGTTGGTTCACTCCCAAGCATCCGCAACAGCCTGAGCTGAGCTGATCCTAACCCAGGAGCTTCCTGCAGGTCTCCCACGTGGGTGCAGGTTTCCAAGGCTTTGGGCTGTCCTTGACTGCTTTCCCAGACCACCAGCAGGGCTTGAAAGGCAAGTGGAGCAACTGGGACTTGAATTGGTGTCCACGTGGTATCCATGTGTACAAGGCACCACGCCAGGCACTAGAGGAATGTTCTTATGCCCTGCTCCTACTTCAGGAAGACTTGGTTAAGAAAACGGGGGATGGGAATGCGAACAGCTGGGCCACAGGCTGCACTGGGTGGGCTTCGGATGCCGGAGGGCGTTAGTGACCCTCAGAGAGGGTGTCTGCTGGCCAGGTCCAGCTTCTGGATCGAGTTTCTCTCACCTTGGTCTGCTGAGCTGTTGGGTCCTCTGATACAGGAGTAATTTTGACCCCATTCCATTAAAAAAATTGCTTATCTCTTTGAAAGACTGAGTGACAAAGAGATAGGGAGAGACTTGGAGAGACGCAGAGGTCGCGTTGGCCCACAGGAGCCTAGGCAGGCCAGGCTTGGAACCAGGCCCTCCATCCAAGCCACACTTGCAGGTGGTAGGGACCCAAGCACCTGAGTGTCAGCATCTGTTGCCTTCCAGGTATGTTAGCAGGGAGCTGGAGGGAAGCTCGGGGTGGCCAGGATTCAAGCAAGGCACTTAGACAGACCCCATTCCTTATGGGCACCGCTCGAGGTGAACTAAGCCAAGAACTGGGATGTTTAGCATGTTAGAGTTGCATCTGTCCCGCTGTTCTAACAGTGAGCAGTCCAGATGTGCAGGTGCCATCTTCTTGTATTTCTCTTACTAGAGAAACTGTTGATGGTGCTGAGCAGTCCTTGTTGCTGATGTGTGTTACTCGGTAGTTGTAAACTTAGGGACTATTAGAAGCTCCTGTATGTGGGCTGACATTGTGGCACAGAGGGTGAAGCTTCCTCTTGCTGTGCCAGCATCCTGTATCAAAAAGTGCCACTTCAAGTCCTAGCTGCTCTGCTTCTGTAGCAACTTTGTGCTTTTCTCTCTCTCTCTCTCTCTCTCTCTCTCTGTCTCTGTGCTGCTTTGCTGTCTTCACATAAACAAGCAACTCCTTTCAGCAAAACTGGCCTGGCCATTTAGTCGGGACGCCAGCCAGTGGAGAGCCTACTCCGTCATAGGTAGGCTCCGGATTGTGGCCGATTAGAGTGTGGTCTGGAAGGATTGGATCTTGTGGTTCTTTTTAGGAGAAACTAGAAACTTGAGTTTTTATATGAAATCAACAGACAACTTTGTATGAAAAACCAGACACATTGTGTTGACCACGTGTGACATTTGTGAGCCCATTCGGGCCTTGGGCCATCAGGTCCAAGCTATTTAAGGAGGGGACCAGGTAGGTGACCCTCAGCAGTGTTATATGCTGTTGTATTTATTGTTTTATCATTTATTTGAAAGACAGAGTTACGGAGAGAGGCAGTTCACTCTTCTAAATGGCTGCAATAGCCCCAGGACTAGGCCAGACAGAAGCCAGAAGCCGGGGGCTTCTTCTGGGTCTGCTACCGGGATGCAGGGCCCAAGGACCTGGGCCATCGTCCGCTGCTTTCCCAGGCATATTAGGGACCTGGGTTGGAAGTGGAGCAGCTGGGACTTGAATAGCACCTGTGTGGGATGCTGGCCCCACAGATGGTAGCTTTACCTGCTATACTGCAACACTGGCCTCCGTATTTATTATTCCCTGAAGTTTTGTTTATAAATAAAGCCAAACAGTATTAGTATTTGCTTTATTTATTTGCTTTATACTTGAATGAGTTTAATGTGAAATTCCTGGGAAGGGTAAAGCAAAAACATTTTTTATGTTTTGATAGTTAGTTTAAATAGAATTATCTTTATAGAACAACTACATGTGTGTATGTTTTTAAAGATTATTTATTTTAAAGATTTATTTATATTTTTTATATTGAAAAGACAGATATACAGAGAGAAGGAGATACAGAGAGAAGAATCTTCCATTTATTGGTTTACTCCCGCAGAGGCCGCAACAGCTGGAGCTGAGCTGATTTAAAGCCAGGAACCAGGAGCTCTTCTGGGTTTCCCACGCAGGTGCAGGGTCACAAGGCTTTGGGCCATCCTCCACTGCTTTCCCAGGCCACAAACATGGAGCTGGATGGGAAGTGGGGCTACTGGGATTAGAACCAGCGCTGATATGGGATCCCGGAAGACACAAGGTGAGGACTTTAGTCACTAGGCCACCATGCTGTGCCCTGGAAAGGCATATTTACAGAGAGAAGAAGAGACAGGAAGATCTTCCATCTGCTGTTTCTCTTCTGAATGTCCATAGTGGCTGGAGCATCTTCTGGTCTCGCACAAGGGTGCAGGATCCCAGGGCTTTGGGCATTCTACGTTTCATTCCCAGGCTATAAACAGAGAGCTGGATGGGAAGCAGAGCAGCCAGGACCTGAACGGGCACCATATGAAACGCCTGCACTAGAAGGTGAGGATCAGCCTGTTGGGCAGTGGCGCTCGCTTCAGAATGACTGTGCTGTAAAAATGAAGAAGACGGGCTTGGCATAGTGGCTCAGTCAGATAATCTTCCCCTTGCAAGTATTCATGTCCTAGCTGCTCCACTTCCCATCCAGCTCCTTACTTTTGGTCTAGGAAAGCAATGGAGTTTGGCCCAAAGCCTTGGGGCCTGCACCTGCATGGGAGACCTGGAGGAAGCTCCTGGTACCTGGTTTCAGATCAGTTGAGCTGTGGTCACTGTGTCTATTTGGGGAGTGAACCAGTTTTGGATGGAGGATCTTTGTCTCTGTGTCTCTTCTTCTGTCTGTCATTCTGTCTTTCCAATAAAAATAAATCTTTAAAAAAAAAATAAGGAAGAAATGAGAAAATACACCAAAGTTGTGTTGGTGTTACGTATTGGAATTGAGGGGATGTTTGGGGTGTTGTGGTACCTCTTCATGTCCATTTCATATGCCTGTGCTCTGGGCAGAACCCAGCTGCCCACAGACTGTTTCCACTGGTTGGCTTGGAAGACCCCCGCCTGTTAGAAACTGCTTCTCCACCGCTTGCCAGTATGTTTTTCTCCCAGTTTTTCCTTTATTAGTAAGTGGAACTATCAGCTATCCATGTTCTTATTTTCTGTAGCCCGTGTGCCC